ATCTTTTCTAACTTCTGCTCATGCTTGGGTAAGAACATTGCAACTGTTGCATTGGTGATGATAGGAATCATTCCATGAAGTCAGAGAAATCACCCTTGTCTCCTCCGGCAGATGGTAAAGGAAGAATTGTTCCCCCAAAAAAGGTGCATTTGATCTACCTGTAATGTGTGTTGACATCAATAGTTAGTGAAATTTCCCATTAGACTCCGAATGAAGAACCAAGAACCCAGGCCTCTGTATGGCTTTCTGCACACGGTGGTATGACAGATAGTGACTGGTTCTCTACACCAGACCCCCGAGCCCTGGGTTTCCCTCAGAAGCATAGGGAGCGGTGGCAGGTGAGCAGGCAGGTTCTGTGGGATACACAGACGTGGGGGGAATTCCAGGGAGAGGCCAGCAAGGGAGAACCATGGGTGGCCCTGCTTTTTCTCAAATCTTGTGTGGTTCTCAGCTTCACAGTGATGGGAAGGTCTGGCCCCAAGGATATTTTGACATTGTGAGTAGAGAGCATTTTAATCGAAATTATATTAAATGAATTTTTGTCATGGTCTTCTCCAGAACAAACCTGAATTAGCCATTTAATTTCCCCTATTTTCTATACAGCCAAATTCAACCGTTTTCATTATTTTTATTCCCTTGTTTGTGACCTTGATCATGTCAGGGTCACCACCTGAGACACAGACCACCGCTTGTGGAAGTCTGGCCTGCAGACCCTGACTCGATGGATGGATGAATGCACTCCCACACCATTACAGTGATTCAAGTGGGCTAGGGATGGGTGGGCTGCTTTCAGAGGGTGAAATGCAACCATCGACAGAGGTTCTAAGTGAACACACTTGTGGATAATTAACATGGTTTGAAGTGGTTTTATGAATGATAAAAGTGCTTTAGATTCCGGGCCCAGAGTAAACACTATTAACGGGCAATTCCCCTTTGGTCTCCCCCTGTGAGGACCCCCAGCACTAAGTTGACATGAGTAAACAGTGGAGACAAAGGGATGTGGGGTAAACAGACTAAACTGGGACAGCCTTTGATCGTCTCTCTCCTATGCTAATGTAAATGAGGCAGCTGCCTTCAGCCTGCCCCAGTAAAACCTTTTGGCCTTGCAAAAGGTTTAAGATTACAACCTGTAACTTTTCCTAATATTTAATATTTTACCAGCCACCTGAGTGAATCTCAACATCTTTTTCTTTCCTTTTTTTTTTTTTTTTTTTTGAGACAGGGCAGGGTTTCGTCTCACTCTGTTGTCCAGGCTAGAGTCCAGCAGCATGATCATGGCTCACCACAGCCTTCAGCCTTGACTTCCTGGGCTCAGGTGATCCACCCACCTCAGCCTCTCAAGTAGTTAGGATTACAGATGCGCACTACCACACCAGCTAATTTTTTTATTTTCAGTAGAGATGGGGTTTCACTGTGTTGCTCAGGCTGGTCTTGAACTCCTGGGCTCAAGTGATCTGCCCATCTCGGCCTCCCAAAGAGCTGGGATTACAGCATGAGCCACCTGCCTGGACCCCCTTTTCATTTTCTTAATTTACTTTCACAAGTCAGTTCCTTCCTCAATTGAATAACATTATTTTCTATCACTCTTCTTCCCTATTTTAATTTTATCCTTTTAGTCACATTTTACTAATTACAGCTTCTGCCATCGTGGGTTTTTTTTTTTTTTCTTTTAATCACCATTATTTTTACCAATTCAGTTTTCTTCATGTTATCCTGAATCAGTTTTATTGTGCATTGAGTTTATTGACTGTGTCCAGTTTTCTCTGGTAACTGAGTCACAGCGTCCTCAACATGAAAACTTTAGCATTTCAAAGTCCTCTGCTTTGGGCCTTTTTGAAATAAACAGGCTGTGGGCCTCCCTCCCCCAGCTGCCCTCAGGACCATCCACGCAGGAGGGATCAGACTTCCTTGGAGATTGCTAGCCAGCCTTTCACATTTTGCTAAGGCACCATTCTTCAAGGCTTCTAGCCAACGTGAGGGAAGAAGGTGTCCACGATGTATGTCCCCACCTGTGCCGGGCATGGGACCTCAGTACACCAATGGCTGGGGAGGGGTGATTGTTCGCATTGTTTTTAGGGCTCACTGAACAGCCAAGCACCTGAAAGACTTATTCTACTGGGACTTCCCAGCCACCCAGTGCAGTGGGAAGATAGCCATCCCCCACCTTATAGACGAACATGGTGCCTGAGTCCCAAAGCAGCGAGGTGAATCAGTTCTGCCTGGCCACACCACACCTTCTCCCCATTCAGTCCTTACCAGATGAAGAAATGAGTGGCAGCTGGGGCAGACTCCCACCCGGGGCGCAAAGACCACGGGTTCAGGTGCTGCGCCCAAGGGGAAAGTGAAGGATCTCCTAGCTCTTCCTCCTCCCCCGTCCTCTCCCAGGACCCGAGCTGCTTTCCACCAGAGGGAGCTGGAAGGAGAAAATGGAAGATGTAGAAATTCTCCAAAATGCCATCTATTCGGCTTCTCACAGCTCTTTATTTCCAACAGATGAAATTAAAGTGCCAAAATGAATGAAAAGAGTGCCACTCCATCCCACAACCCAGAGAGAAGTTTGGTTCAAAGATCTTGTCTGCTTTCCCACTGGTCCTGCTCGGTTGGAAAGCGCTCCACACTTTTGAACACATGTAGGAAAAAGTGATTGCTATTAAAGATGTGAACATTTACAAATAACACAATCACATGTGGCAAAACTTCTGAGCATTTCTGTGGTTTGGGGCCATTCCTGTAAACCAAGTCTTTTTGCCCCTTATTGCTGCATCTCACCACAGCCGCCAAACTTCTCAGCCCACTTAAGACAGGCTGGCTGAGCGCTGTGGCTCCTGCTTGCAGTCCCAGCACTTTGGGAGACCGAGGCAGGAGGACTTATTGAGACAGGTGTTTGAGGCCAGCCTGGGCAACGCAGGGAGACCCTGTCTCTACCAAAAAAACAAAAATTATCCAGACTCTGTCTCTACCAAAAAAATAAAAATTATCAAGGCTGCAGTGAGTCAAGATCATGTCACTGCACTCCAGCCTGGGTGACAGAGCAAGACCCTATCTCAAAAAATAAATAAATAAAAGACACAGGCTGCGTATGGATTTGGGGGCCCCTGAAAATATCCAGCAGCCATGAATGAGGAAGACTGGGGACGGAGCAGCATGATACCAAGGACAGGCCTCTAAGTTGAGGTCACAGGGTGGCCCAAGGCCCTGGACATCAGGGCAGCTGCCTCTACAGTGGGCATAATTCAAGGCAGTAGCTGCCGAGCTGAGTGGGCTCCTGTAAGAAGAGAAGTGCCCGTCTTCTCTTCAGCCTGAAGATTTGCATCTCTCCAGTCCCACCCAGTCTCTGGCAGGAAGCCCCACTCCCCAGCGACTCTGTGCATGCTCCTGGAGGAAGCTGTGCAGCACAGCTCAACGCCGTTTTCCCCTTTTGGTTTTCTAGAATAGTCTTGCAGAACTTCTTTTTGTTGTTGAGACAGAGTCTCCCTCTGTTGCCCAGTATGGAGTACAGTGGCACAATCTCATCTCACTGCTACCACTGCCTCCTGGATACAAGTGATTCTCCTGCCTCAGCCTCCTGAGTAGCTGAGATTACAGGTGTGCACCACAACACCCAGCTAAGTTTTTTTTACTTTATTTTTAGTGGAGACAGGATTTCACCATGTTGATCAGGCTGATCTTACTCTTGAACTCAGGTGATCTGCATGCCTTGGCCTCCCAAAGTGCTGGGATTACAGGCGTGAGCCACCACACCTGGCCAGTCTTGCAGAACTACTGTCACTCCACAGAGCTCAGTACAGTTTAAGGCACAGCGAAGGTGCCCAGCAGACCTTTGATTATTTCTCGTGAAGCATAAAGTTTTGCTCCTTGGAAGTAAATCCTTGCATCAGAGCCTTCCTCGGGCTCTGGTGAAGCCTGAGGTGAAGCTTCTGGTGAAGCTGGCTCTACAGATGACCCAGGGGAATAAGCCGGGTGTTCCAGTACCCAGGATTTCTTGTTTCATGTCATTTTTTAAAAACCCATGGTTTCCAGTATACTGTGGAGTCCTCGGTTTACTCCCAGCCTTGGTCTCAGGTGTCAAGCTGGCTATTCCTTCTCATCTGGGGGCTTCAGCTCCTTCCCATTTTACCCACCAACTCCTAATCATCTCTCTTGCTCTACTCAACCGTCTTTTTCTGGAAACTCTTCCTGCATAACCTAATTTACAGCAGTCTCCTTCTGCTAGTCTCTAAAGCTGTCTGTTCTTATCACAATTTTAATCAAACTATATATTTTTTTCTTTTCTGAGTATCGCTCTGTTGCCCCCCAGGCTGGAGTGCAATGGCACAGTCTCAGCTCACTGCAACCTCTGCCTCCCAGGTTCAAGCGATTCTCCTGCCTCGACCTCCCAAGTAGCTGGACCTACAGGCATATGCCACCATGCTGGGCTAATTTTTATATTTTTAGTAGATACGGGGTTTCACCATGTTGGCCAGGCTATTCTCGAACTCCTGACCTCAGGTGATCCACCTGCGTTGCCCTCCCAAAGTGCTGGGATTACAGGTGTGAGCCACCGCACCCAGCCTAAAGTATACTCTTAACCCAGGGTGAGCACACACTGCTATGATCAATGATGGTGTGAGGTGATAGGGAGTTTTGGGGGCTGTGGAGGGAATATGGCCACAGAAAGGCCGGTTTCACTTGGCTCCAGCAGAGAGACTGTTTCTATGAGTGTGTGCCCAGTGTTTGCGGACCTCCCATATCTTCACAGGAAGCCAGAACCTGGAGTTTTAAAGTGAAATGCCCCCCAATATTTGTACTGACAATTTTTAGAAACAACGTAGGCCAAACAAAACACATAGGTGGGACAGGCGCAGTGGCCCACCTATTACACGCCTGTAATCCCAGCACTTTAGAAGGCCAAGGTGGGCAGATCACCTGAGGTTGGGAGTTGGAGACCAGCCTGCCCAACATGGAGAAACCCTGTCTCTACTAAAAACACAAAATTAGCAAAAACAACAATCACCACCACCACCACCACCACCATAGAGGTGGCTCCGAGTAGCCTGTGGTTTAACATCTTTCTTTCCCATTCAACTCAGCTCCACGGGGCACATGCCATCTCCCCTCTGCTCATCACAATGTCTGGATCAAACAAATAAATAATGAAAACATGATGGCCTCGCCCAGCAAAGCTCCTCTGCTGGAGTCCCCTGGCAGGGAATTGGCACCCATTATGCCCATCCTCTCTCTCTTACTGCCTACTGGAAATGTGCCCATCTCCCTTTAATTCCTCCTCCGGGGCTACCCAGGAGCCTCATTATCCTGTCCTGAAATCATCACAATGGCCAGAGTGGCCTCAGCTCAGGGCCTCTGTGACATCACCAAGGGCCTGGCACCAAATACCCAGTCTCCCAGTTGCAAGAGCAAGCAAACCCATCATGAGCAACTCCCTTCCCCATCTCTGCTTACCATGTGGATGCTGAAATGGTTCCTGGTCCTGCTTCTGTGCCTCACCTGCAGCTATGCCTTTATGTTCTCTTCCCTGAGAGAGAAAACTAGCGAACCCCAGGGGAAGGTACCAGACGAAGGGCACTTTCGGATTCGGCAGACTCCACCAGAGCACACCCAAGGCTGGCTTGGGAACAAATGGCTCTGGCTTTTGTTCATTGTTGTGCTGTATGTGATACTGAAGTGTCGAGGAGACAGTGGGAAGAAAAAGGTAAGGATGGCTCCATTTTTTTTTACACCAAATTGATTCAATCTCGGGAGTCTCCGAGTCTCAGGGAAACAAATGTCCTAGTGAGTCTAAGCAGGACCGCTGCATACGATGAACCTACCTCATGGCCCTGGGCAAAGTCAGCAAATTCCCTTCCTGATGTATCCTTAGTGAAGACAAGTCCCCAGAACCATAGATACTGGGACAAAGGGTGGAAGATGACCTTCTACTTATTGGCTCCCAGTTTTTCTGGTTAGGTGGATTTTTTCTAATGTAGGATAGATTCAACAACTTATGGTATTTCAGAGGTTCAAAATTATTCACAGGGCCAGATTCACTGTCCCCTGGTTTTTACATTTTTCCTAGTGTTTGACTTACTACAAATTCCTGAGCTAAATGGAAATGGTATTATTACCCAACAAAATATGAGACTTGTGCTAAAGAGATAAAGGTGTAAGGTAGTTTGAGCTGGGCCTCAAAGTGACAATAAACAACTCTTTCATGTAGAAAGGGAAAGGGAGAGGAAGTGTGTTCTCCCCTAGAAAGACCCAGCATGTCATGATATTGTGGCCAAACCCATTAGAGCAGGGATTGGCAAACTTTTTCTGTTAAGGACCAGGGAGGGTGGGAATAGGTACAGCTCTGTGGGCACTATGGTCTTCCTTGCAACTACTCAAGTCTGCTATTGTAACATGAAAGCAGCCTTAACTATACAAATGAATGTGAATGGTCGTGTGCCAATAAAACTTTATTTACAAAAACAGGTGGTGGGCCAAATTTGGCCATAGTTTGCCAATGCCTGCATTAGAGCAGTGCAAGAACCATCTTCTCTTAAATGGGCCCAACTCTCTTGGAACTGTGTCAAAACCAGCAAAGTCCACGATATTACTGACTTTGAGTATCTTTCTCGACAGGAGCAGAGTCCTCCTGGCCTTCGAGGCAGCCAATTTCACTCTCCACCAAAGAAAAATAAAAAAGCATCCCCCAACAAAGACTGTTGTGCATTCAATACCTTAAACCAACTCGAGGTGGAGCTTGTGAAATTTGTGTCCAAGGTGCGGAATCTTAAAGGTGCCATGGCAACAGGTGGTGGCAGTAATCTCAAGCTTCGAAGGTCAGAGAGGCCTGCAAATCCACATAATAATATCACGATCTACGAAATATGGAGAGAAGAAGACTGACTAAATGGATTTGTGTGTCAAAAAACTAGGAGAGAAAAAAGTCGAGTGTTGACAAACTGTATGCTAACTAATAAAACTATTCTGAAGAACTTCCACATTTGAGACCTTGCTTATTTTCTTTTTTCACTGGAAGGAAAAGTGAATGTGAGACCAGCAGCCACAGCGGTGATGGTTTTGGTTTTGCCTCTCTCCAGAGCTGTGGGTGGTGAGAAGGGCACTGAAAGCTGCACAATAGTACGCGATGACCTCGTGCTTCCGTGCAGTGGCCGTGGGTGGACCACGGAGCTAGGGAAATCTGGGATAAGATGCTGATGTCATTTCCATAAAAACTCTTGTTTTCTTCTCTATAGTATCTATTTGCGCAAGACACAGAACTGCTTTTTATCTCTGACACATTACAAAAGATGACTTTAATGACAGTTTTTAAGTGACAAAATGATTCATTTAAGAGGGGTGTATTCTAGAGTCCATTTGATTCTCTCACCACCGCAAGAGTCCTTTCATTCATTCCAATCAAAGTTTCCATGTATTGACTCTTCCCTCTACCAAACTAGCAGTTACATTTGTCAATAGTTGGATTAAGAAAAAGGGAGAGGCCGGGCACAGTGGCTCACACCTGTAATCTTAGCACTTTGGGAGGCTGAGGCAGGAGGATTGCTTGAGCCCAGGCGTTTGAAACCACCCTGGGCAACATAGTGAGATCCTGTCTCTACTATTTTAAATCAACAAAAAAAAAGGGGGGAAGAAAAAATTCATACTCTCTATGCCATTGGAGTTTGGAATACAGATGTGCTAACCAGGGCTCCCAGATTAGTTGACATGTTCTTTATACTACTTATTCAAAATATGGGCATTTTCCATGTTGGTGTGGCTGATGGCATCTCCGCACGTACTTAGGTGCTTGCCTAATGGTGATTTCGATTTTCCTCTCTCCTGCTACATTTTTTATTGATTGGAATTCTGCTGTAAGGAGAGCAGAGGATGTTCCTTCACCGATGGATTGATGGATTTCAGTATGGCCTGATGAGTGTTAATTTTATTCTAAATAATCTGCTATCTTGGTTATTTTTATGGCTCTATCTTTCCCACCATTGGCATTAGGAGCTCCTTCGGGTTGGCACATGTGTTCTGTGAGCAAGCCCCTTCCTCTTTTGAGCAATTCCTTACTTTCTGGCAACCCAAGATGCTCCATGCTCATCTGGTTCACTGCCTCCTTCATCCTGGATCAGCCACTTCCCCAAGAGGCCCTAGGTTCCCTTTCTTGGAGAATGGTGACCTGTCCTCCTGGAGCCAGGATCATGACTTGTCTTAAAATCCTTAATTTAATTCATCTGCAAAATGTCTCTTGCTACATGAACAGGCCCACAGGTCCCAGGAATTAGTGCATGGACATCTCTGGGGCCGGTGCCCAGCTGACCAGTGCTGTCACCCTCACAAACATCCAAGTCACCCAGGGCCCAGGGGAGACTAAGACATGAGGCAGGAGGCCTTGGCTTCTGCAGCTGCAGCAGAAGCCAGGAGAGGGAGGCAGGGCAGACAGCAGCCCAGACGCCTGGGGCCTCAGGGAAAGAAGGCCCTGACTTGAAGGCACAGGTGCCCCTCAGGGGTCACAACCCTGGGCCCTGCAGGGTGGGCAGCATCTTCCCAGAGCGGGGAAGGGGAATGTGTCCTCAGGAAGGTGCACAGATCAGCCTGAGCAGATAAGCTGAGCAAGGAGAAAGGGGCCAAAGAGGACTCGGGAAGTGTGTGATGGGGAACGAGGGGGCCAGGGAGCGAGGAGAGGCCAGGGCGGAGGAGAGGAGGGCTTGGCCTCCCACAGCCAGCCACAGGTAAACTGCTGGGACCCAGGGCTGCCCTAAGGCCACACCCACGGGAGCAGCTGCACATCCACAGCCCTGGGTGCCAGTTGGTTGCTCCCAGCTTACCAAGAGCTGGGCCAGCAAACGTGCAAAGGGAAAGATCAATCCAAGGCCTCCAGCAGCAGTGACCCCAAGCAGGGTCTACACGTACCTTGCAGTTTCCAGGGACTGTTTCAGTGAGAAAATGCTCCCGAGAGCATCCTGTGCTGCCATCCCTGTGGCCTAAGGGAAGCTCAGCAAGACCACAGCCCCTCAAGGCCTGTGTCTCCCTGTGTATTCCGTCACTGAGTAGTGTGGCCTCTGGTGAATGAGGTGACAGGTGTGAGAGCCCAGGAGCTAGGCCCAAGTCAACTGCCCTCTGCAGCTGGAGGTCTGGGAGACCCACTGCGGGTGCTACCAAGAGGTACCAGCGGGGAGGCCACACCAAGCCAGGAAGCACAGGAGCCGGGGGGGGGCGGGCACTGACAGAGAACCCTGACTCCCCATGCTGCCTCTGAGGATCTGTTCCATGGAGATCTGTACAGACAATGCCCCATGACATGAATGGTGGCACTGCTGGAAATCCCCATCGAGGGGGAAATGGCGAAAAAAACATGGATGCCCATGTCAGGGAGGATTTGGAAATGGCAAGCTAGGCCTTCCTACACTGGCTGCATAGAAAGCCATTAGTGATGACAGGAATGCTGAGCAAGATCTTACACACTCGGAAACACCTGCCATCTCTATGCTGGGAAAAAATCTCAACAGTGTAGACACCAGGCTGAGTGCGGTGGCTCATGCCTGTAATCCCGGCACTCTGAGAGGTCGAGGAGGGTGAATTGTTGGAGCCTGGAAGTTCAAGTTTGGCCTGTGCAACATAATGAGAACCCATCTCAACAAAAATACAAAAATTAGGCAGGGCATGGTGGTTCATGCCTTTAATCCCAGCACTTTGAGAGACCGAGGCAGGTGGATCACTTGAGTTCAGGAGTTCGAGACAAGCCTGGCCAACATGGTAAAACCCCAATTCCACTAAAAATGCAAAAATTTCTGGGCATGGTGGTGCGCACCTCTAGTCCCTGCTACGGGGGAGGCTAAGGCAGAAGAATCGCTTTAGCCTGGGAGTCAGAGGTTGCACTGAGCTGAGATAGTGCCAACCGCACTCCAGCTTGGGCGACAAAAGTGAGACTCTGTCTCAAAACAAAAACAAAAACAAAAAATTAGCCAGGCATGGTGGTACATGCCTGTAGTCCCAGCTATTCAGGAGGCTGAGATGGGAGGATTATTTCAGCCTAGCAGTTGGAGGCTGCACTGGGCCAAGACTGCCACTGTACTCCAGTCTGATTGACAGAGCACAACCTAGTCTCAAAAAAACGGGGGGAGGGGAGTGTGTGGAAGTGGGGAGTGGGGGACGGGCACTGTGGCTCACACCTGTAATCCCAGCAATCTGGAAGGCTGAGGTGGACAGATCACTTGATGTCAGGAGTTACAAGACCAGCCTGGCCAACGTGGTGAAACCCTGTCTCTACTAAAAATAAAAAAATTAGCCCGGCATGGTAGCATGGGCTAGTCCCAGCTACTTGGGAGGCTAAGGTGGGAGGATCACTTGAACCCAGCAGGCAGTGGTTGCAGTGAGCTGAGATCACACCACTGCACTCCAGTCTGGGCAACAGAGTAAGGCTCCATCTCAAAAAAATATATAGACACCAAACTGGTAGAAATGGTTGCTCTGAAGGAGTGGAGGATATTTAGATGAAGACATGTTCACTTTTTACTTAATAACATTGCGCTCATTAAAAAGTAAGCTTTAAAAGTATGGATAAATTTTAAATGTACATATTTTGAGACAGGGTATCGCTCTGTTACCCAGGCTGGAGTACAGTGGCATGATCAGGGGTCACTGCAGCCTCGACCTCCCAGAGCTCAAGCAATCTCCCGCTAAAGCATCCCAAGTAGCTGGGACTACCAGCGTGTGCTACTGCATTTTGGGGCGAATTTTTGTATTTTTTTGTAGAGATGGTGTCATGCCATGTTCCCCAAGCCAGTCTTGAACTCCTGGGCTCAAGCAATTTGCCCACCTTGGCCTCCCAAAGTACTGGGATAACAGGTGTGAGCCACTGCACCCAGCCCCAGCCTTGATTTTATAATAAAAAAATCAGGATTAAGAACATTTTCCCATGCTTGTCTATAAGATGGAGATTTTTAAAAATAATAGTAAAAAGAAAAAAAGGAGAAAACTTTCGCAGAACTATGGAAAGGACTTGTGAGAAAGAAAGAAAAGTGGTTTGGTTTTTGTCCCAGTTCTATGAAGCTGAGGACACCCCCAGGTGGATTTCCACCCACCTGCCAACATCATCCTTGCTGTTTCTGAAGGATTCATGCACACTCAAGTAGACCAAGACATGTGCAAATCAGACCACTACTTCCCATACTTTTGAGACTCATGTTAGTGCATGGTAACCCAATATGCTCACACATGCACACAAGAATCACATGCAGAAATCAAAGTTTCAAGACAGGACAGTTATTGAATGCTTGCGCTTTGGTATTTTCTAGTTTGTTTTCCTTTTTCTTACCTAGCATAACCCAGTAAATCGAATTTACAATGCACTAAGAAGTCACAGCCTGAGGACTGGAAAAAAGTGAACTAAATAACCTCTTCGAGCCAGGTACGGTGGCTCATGCCTATAATCCCAGCACTTTGGGAGGCCGAGGTGGGTGGATCACGAGGTCAAGAGATCGAGACCATCCTGGTCAACACAGTGAAACCCCATCTCTACTAAAATATAAAAATTAGCTGGGCGTGGTGGCACGCGTCTGTAGTCCCCGCTACTCGAGAGGCTGAAGGCAGGAGAATTGCTTGAACCCGGGAGGCAGAGATTGCAGTGAGCTGAGATCCATTGCACTCCAGCCTGGCGCCTGGTGACATAGTGAGACTGTCTCAAAAAAAAAAAAAAAAAAACAAAACAAAAACGAAAAACAAAAAACAAAACAACCTCTTCGAGCGCTCTGGCACTTCCAGAAAACCACGTTTCACTACAGCATCCTCAGCATCATTCACCAAGGAGGGAGGCAACTCATCCCCAGGTCCCCATGTTACCCAGGAGACAGAACAGAGGGCTCTCCACTGGGCGGCCCCATGAAGTCGGTCGGGACACTCAGATCTCCCAAACTTCATGCGATTTCCACTCAATCACGCTGCCTTTCCATGAGGCTTTCAAAGTCATTACTAAGCCGTTTCCATGAAGCCACACTCAAGTTTTAAGTGAGAATCTATTACAAAATGGAAACCTTTTTTTGGAAACTATACTGCTGCAGAAAAAGCACTGTCAAGAGTCTTCGCTCCCGGTGCAGCAGGCGGGAAGAAAAGCCTACAACATGCAGACTACAGGGTCGCTGCTTTTGAAAAGCGAATTGATGGGGGCACTGGGTTCCACTAGAACTGTCATTGAACAGTCATTTGCTGCTCTCCAATCAGGCAAACTTCAGCAGCTGCAGAGAACATCCCGAGTCAGAAGTGGATCCCTGAGTAATGACGACCCTCCGGGCCATAAGGATGGTCTTTGGATGAGAAAGCCAGGGCCCCCCAGACACCTAGTGTCCTGCATGGAATCGCTGACTGGCCAACGGCAGGGCTGAGCAAGGAAGCCTGGGACTTTCAAGGACCGTCCCACACTATTCTAAAAATGTTTCCATCACCAATACCCACTTGAATGGGCCCATGCCTGTAGGGAACTCACACCAATTCCAAAGGAAGAAACCCAGGCTCTGGGGCTCCCCAGTGAAGACAGGCAACCCCCCTGAAAACCACACCCCAGACTAGAGTGGGTGGTTCTCCACCGCACAGACCCCAAGGCCGCTCCTCAGGATCCCAGGAACAGGCCGCTCAGTGACAAGCACTGAAGAGGGCAGGGATCCGCGCTGGGAGATCCTGCCCCTGAAGGAAAAGTCCTCTCAGGAAGCAAACCACATTCCCAATCTGGTGAACTACGCTCTTAAACTCCAGGCTACTCAGCTACGCCTTCAACTCCAAAGGAATCTGAGGAGTAGGGACATTAGTTACCCATTGTAACCAAAGCAGTTAGGGAGTGCTTTTGAGATGACGAAAACCAAGGAAAAAAGGATGGAGATGAACAAAACTGACTTCATTAAGCCAGAGGCAGGCGAAGCCACACGACTTCTGGAAAAGTACAATAAGAACTCAGGTTCCCAAGGAGAGGGACATGGGCTGAGGGTAACTTCGGTGCCTGCAAGCAAATTCCTTAACTTGCCCGCCCTCCTGGCACTTCATGCCGACACAAGCTCTGGTACTGGGGCCGCAGTATCAGAAGGCTGCTCTCCTTCAGGCCCGCCTTGCTGTCCCTGCAGGGTTGCAAGTGGGCAGTCGCTCAAGTAGGAGGCTTTCTAAGGCTTCCACTGCCCACTGGCTGCACGGGCATCCTTCGACCAAGACCGACGCTTCGTGACCACTATCCCCATCCTTCTTCAACCTAGGTCACCGGTGGCGGAAGCGAGGGGCAGGAAGGAAACGATGCCCACAGTTGTAATTTTATTTCTGGAAAACCGTTTCCTTGCCCTGGCTTTCAGGTTTCTACTTGAAGTCAGCTTCCCCATTCCAGGCTCCCCCGAGCTGCTACCTCACCCGGCTTAGAATGCCGCTGTCAGCCCTCCATCCCTCCGAGAAGCAGCCTCGCGTTCCTGGGAACAGGGGCACAGGAGGCAAGCCAGGCCCCAGGGACACGCATTTACAGGACCCAGGAGTTTCTCCCGCGGCGGCCCAGGATCCCCTTGCCTTCGTCTCCCAAGGAGGGTCCTGGGGCGGCGTCCGGGAGCCTGCATTTTTAATCAGCGATTGGGAAACACACTCAGGTTGGAGAACCTCTGCTAGAGACCTCGAAAGTCTCCTGTGGGTGTCACCCGGGCGGAGAAGGAGGCGAATCTCTCTCTGAGCGGGTACACTGAGGCTCCAGGGGGAGGCCACCCATCGGCGGGACCCAGGGCACGGCATTTTGGGCAGCCCTTTCCTCCGGCGATCCGATGAGGCAAGGACCCGAGGGGCGCTGCTCCAGGGCCTTTGCCTCTCGGGGGTAAAGTGACGCTGGGGGACGGACGAGGTGGGCGGCGGCCGAGGCCCAGGGCAGGCAGGGTCGGAGACCAGAGCGGGACTGCGGAGCCCAGTCCGGGCGGGCTGCCGGCGGAGCAGGCCCTGTGAGCAGGGCTGGGCCCGGGGCCGGGACGGTGACCGGTCCGGGCCGTCCCCTTGGCGCGCCGGGCTCACCTCGTCCTCCTTGTGGTTGCGGGTGCCGTGGACCAAGCCCTACAGGTTCTTGTCGAACACGCGGTCGATGATGCCCTTCACCGTCTTGAGGACCATCCCGGCTGCCCGCAGGCTTTTGCTCCGGGAAGCCCGCGGCCGGTCGCTGTGAGCGGGCCCGAGGGCCGCGCCTGCCACTCACAGATCGCTGCGCTGCCGACCGCTGCGGCGGGGCAGGCCCCCAGGCCAGAGCGGCGGCGGGGTCCGAGGACCGCGGCAGAAGCGGCGACCAGCTCGGCAGACACCGCGACACCGCTCTAGGCCACTTACAAATGGCCGACATGATGGCTGCAGGTCAGCTGACGGCGAACGCCCAGTCCCAGCCGAGCCGGCCCCGGAAGCCCCGCCTCCCAGTAAAGCCCGCCCCCCACCCCCGGGACACCGAGTTTCCCTAACGACGACAGGTAGCCCAATGGAAATACGGACACCGCCCTCTCCGGCTCGTGGCCCCGCCTTTTCCGGCCCAGAACTCTGCGCTCTCATTGGTCAGTGGCCTCTGAAGCTCCACCCTTTTCCTCGTGCGGGGTTCTGGCCACGCCCCTTAGAGACAGGTTCTCACTCTTCCATCAGCCCACAGCAGTGGACAAGGCTGGGTGTGGGCGGAGCCTGAGGTGGGCGAGGCGCCCACATGGAGTTCAGCTGGCAAGTTCCAGGGGAAGAACGGAGCTTCGCCTTTTCTGAATGTAAAACCTGAGGCCGCCCGAGAGCCTCCCAACCCAACGCCAGGGCGCGGGGAACGGATCCTGTGTTTCCCGCAGCCTCACAAAATCTTGTGACATGGATAGGACAGGGAGTAACATGCCCAAAGGAAGAAAATGAGGCAAGAGGCAGGACTTCATTCATAATCATTAATCATATAATCATTAAGTAATCAATAATTACTTAATCAATAATCAATCATTCAGTAAACATTTGTCGAGAGCTTGTTGCGTGCCAGGCATGGTAACGGGTGCTGGGCATTCAGCAGTGAATGAGATATACCGAGTCCCTGCCCTCCGAGATACATCATTAAGATTGTAAAAAACTTTGGAGGCTGAGGCAGGAGGATCACTTGAGCTCAGGAGTTCGAGAGGAGACGAACAACATGGCGAGACCACAGCTCTACACACAACACACACACACACACAGTAGCCAGTCATGATGGTGCACGCCTGTAGCTCCAGCTACACCTGAGTCTGAGTGAGGCAGGAGGATCGCTCGAGCCGAGGAGGTCAAGGCTGCAGAGAGCTATGATACTGCCACTGCACATTAAGCCTAAGTAACAGAGCAAGATTCTTTTGGTTTTTTGTGGAGACGGAGTCTCACTCTGTTGCCCAGGCTGGAGTGCAGTAGCGCAATCTGCAACCTCCACCTCCTGAGTTCAAGCGATTCTCCTGCCTCCTGCCTCAGTCTCCCGAGTAGCACGTGCCACCACGCCTGGCTAATTTTTGTATTTTTAGTAGAGATGGGTTTTCACTGTGTTGGCCAGGCTGCTCTTGAACTCCTGACCTCAGGTGATCCGCCCGCCTCAGCCCCACAAAGTGCTGGGATTACAGGCGTGAGCCACCACACGCGCCTGGCCACACTCTCATATTTTCAAAGGAAAACGGAAACCTGGAGTTTTAAAATGAAATGCCTCCCAACATTTAAGTACTGACAGTTTTTAGAAACAATGTAGGTCAAACAAAACACATAGGTGGCTCTGAGTTTGTAGGTAGCCTGTAGTTTAATATCTTTCTTTCTTTCCCATTCAATTCAGCTCCATGGGGCACATGCCATCTCCCGGCTCGTCACAATGTCTGGATCAAACAAATGAAAAACAGAAATGATGGCCTCTCCCACCAAAGCTCCAGGGTTGGAAAGAGTCCCCTGGCAGGGAATTGGCACTCATTATGCCCATCCTCTCTCTCTTACTTGCCTGCTGGAAATGTCCCCATCTCCCTTTGAGTCCTCCTCCAGGGCTACCTCTGTGAGCTTCATTATCCTCTGTCCTGAAGTCATCATAATGGCCAGAGTGGCCTCAGCTCAGGGCCTCTGTGACATCACCAAGGACCTGCAAGCAGTTGTGAGGGCAAGCAAACCCATCATGAGCAACTCCCTTCCCCATCTCTGCTCACCATGTGGATGCTGAAATGGTTCCTGGTCCTGCTTCTGTGCCTCACCTGCAGCTATGCCTTTATGTTCTCTTCCCTGATAGAGAAAACTAGCGAACCCCAGGGGAAGGTGCCATGTGGAGGGCACTTTCGGATTCGGCAGAATCCACCAGAGCACACCCAAGGCTGGCTTGGGAACAAATGGCTCTGGCTTCTGTTTGTTGTTGTGCCGTATGTGATACTGAAGTGTCGAGGAGACAGTGGGAATAAAAAGGTAAGGATGGCTCCATTTTTTACACCACATTGATGCAATCTCAGGAGTCTCAGGGAAACAGATGTTCTAGTAAGTCTAGGTGGAACCTTTGCATATAATGAACCTATCTCATGGTCCTGGGCAAAGTTAGCAAATTCCCCTCCTGATGTATCCTTAGTGAAGACAATAGTCCCCAGAACCACAGATATCGGGACAAACGGTGGAAGATGACCTTCTGCTTATTGGCTCAGAGTTCTTCTGGTTAGATGGATTTTTTACAATTAGAATAGATTTAGGCCGGGCACGGTGGCTCAAGCCTGTAATCCCAGCACTTTGGGAGGCCGAGGCGGATGGATCACGAGGTCAAGAGATTGAGACCATCCTGGTCAACATGGTGAAACCCCATCTCTACTAAAAATACAAAAAAATCATCTGGGCATGGTGGCACGTGCCTGTAATCTCAGCTACTCAGGAGGCTGAGGCAGGAGAATTGCTTGAACCCAGGCGGAGTTTGCCGTGAGCCGAGATCGCGCCATTGCACTCCAGCCTGGGTAACAAGAGCGAAACTCCATCTCAAAAAAAAAAAAAAGAATAGATTCAAGAACTCAACCAGGAATGGTGGCTCACGCCTGTAATCCCAGCACTTTGGGAGGCCACGGTGGGTGGATCACCTGAGGTCAGGAGTTTGAAACCAGCCTGGCCAACATAGTGAAACCCCGTTTCTACTAAAAATATAAAAATTAGCTGGGCACAGTGGCACGTGCCTATAATCCCAGCTACTTGGGAGGCTGAGGCAGGAGAGTTGCTTGAACCTGGAAGGTGGAGGTTGTGGTGAGCTGAGATCACGCCACCACATCCAGCCTAGGTGATCGAATGAGACTTCATCTCAAAGAAAAAAAAAAAGAACTTCTGGTGTGTTTCAGAAGGTCAAATTATTCACAGGGTCAGATTCAGTGTTCCCCCTGCTTTTTAAATTTTTCCTAGTGTTTCATTTACTGCAAATACCTGAGCTAAATGGAAATGGTATCATTATCCCAACAAAATATGAGACTTGTGCTAAATAGATAAAGGTGTAGGCTGGGCGTGGTGGCTCGCACCTGTAATCCCAGCACTTTGGGAGGCCGTGGTGAGTGGATCACTTGAGGTTAGGAGTTCAAGACCAGCCTGGCCAACATGGTGAAACCCTGTCTCTACTAAAAATACAAAAATTAGCTGGTAAGGTGGTGCATGCCTGTAGTCCCAGCTACTTGGGAGACTGAGGCAGGAGAATCCCTTGAACCCAGGGAGGCAGAGGCTGCAGTGAGCTGAGATAGTGACACTGCACTTCAGCCTGGGTAGCAGAGTGAGACTCCATCTCAAAAAAAAGATAAAAGTAGCTGGATGTGGTAGTGGGCACCTGTAGTCTCAGCTAATTAGGAGGCTGAGGCATGAGAATTGCTTGAACCCAGGAAACGGAGGTTGCAGGGAGCCAGGATCATGCCACCTGCACTCAAGCCTGGGTGACAGAGTAAAACTGTGTCTCAGAAAAAACAAACATACAAAAAGAGATAAAGGTGTAAAGTAGTTTGAGCCGGGCCTCAAAGTGACCATAAACAACTCTTTCATGTAGAAAGGAAAAGGGAGAGAAAGTGTGTTCTCCCCTAGAAAGACCCAGCACGTCATGGTACTGTGCCCAGACTGATTAGAGCAGGAATTGGCAAACTTTTTCTGTTAAGGACCTGGGAGGGTGTGACTATTTTCCACTTTGTGGGCAGTATAGTCTTCCTTGCAACTACTCAAGTCTGCTGGTGTAACATGAAAGCAGCCTTAAGCAATATACAAATGTGAATGTGCATGATAGTGTGCCAATAAAACTTTATTTACAAAAACAGGTGGTGGGCCAAATTTGGCCATAGTTTGCCAATGCCTGCATTAGAGCAGTGCAAGAACCATCTTCTCTTAAATGGGCCCAACTCTCTTGGAACTGTGTCAAAACCAGCAAAGTCCACGATATTATTGACTTTGAGTATCTTTCTCAACAGGAGCAGAGTCCTCCTGGCCTTCGAGGCAGCCAATTTCGCACTCCACTAAAGAAAAGTCAAAATGCTTCCCCCAACAAAGACTGTGCGTTCAATACCTTAAGCCAACTCGAGGTGGAGCTTGTGAAATTTGTGTCCAAGGTGCGGAATCTTAAGGTTGCCTATGGCAACAGGTGGTGGCAGCAACCTCAGGCTTCGAAGGTCAGTGATGCCTGCAGATCCACACAATAATATCACGATCTATGAAATTTGGGGAGAAGGCGGCTCTAACTGAATGGATTTGTGTGTCAAAAAAATAGAGAAAAAAGTTAAATGCTGACAAACTGTATGCAAACTAATAAAACTATTCTGAAGAACTTCCGCATTTGAGACCTTGCTTATTTTCTTTTTTCACTAGAAGGAAAAGTGAATGTGAGACCAGCAGCCACAGCGGTGATGGTTTTGGTTTTGCCTCTCTCCAGAGCTGTGGGTGGTGAGAAGGGCACTGAAAGCTGCACAATAGTACGCGATGACCTCGTGCTTCCGTGCAGTGGCCGCGGGTGGACCACGGAGCTAGGGAAATCTGGGATAAGATGCTGATGTCATTTCCATAAAAACTCTTGTTTTCTTCTCTATAGTATCTATTTGCGCAAGACACAGAACTGCTTTTTATCTCTGACACATTACAAAAGATGACTTTAATGACAATTTTTAAGTGACAAAATGATTCATTTAAGAGAGGTGTATTCTAGAGTCCATCTGATTCTCTCACCGCCACAAGAGTCCTTTCATTCATTCCAATCAAAGTTTCCATGTATTGACTCTTCCCTCTACCAAACTAGCAGTTACATTTGTCAATAGTTGGATTAAGAAAAAGGGAGAGACCAGGCACAGTGGCTCACACCTGTAATCTTAGCACTTTGGGAGGCTGAGGCAGGAGGATTGCTTGAGCCCAGGCGTTTGAAACCACCCTGGACAACATAGTGAGATTCCTTCTCTATTATTTTAAAATAATAATAATAATAATAATAAATATTTAAATTTTTAAATAAAACATAAAAATAAAAATAATTTTAAACACCTATTTTAAAAATTTAATAAAAAGAAAAGGGGAAAATAATTCATACTTTCTATATCATTGAGGTTTTGAATACAGATATGCTAACATCTGTATCAAAATCAGTCAATATGTACTTTATCCTACTTATTTAAAATATGGGTATTTTACATGTTAGTGTGGCTGACTCTGTACATACTTACAAATATAAGGCCCTTATTGACCTCTGAGCCCATCTTCCTCATTTAAAAGGCCAACCTGGGCCGGGTGCGGTGGCTCACACCTGTAATCCTAGCACTTTGGGAGGCCGAGGTGGGTGAATCACCTGAGGTTAGGAGTTCAAGACCAGCCTGGCCATCATGGTGAAACCCCACCTTTAAAAGAAATAAAAATAAATAAAAATAAAAGACCAACCTGATGGTTTTGTAGACACACCTGTGTGTGGCTGGAAAGAACAGTTAGTTGTGGAACACTATGGAAATTCCTTTATTTAACTTCAGTCCAAACTTCTGGTGCCCGACAGAGAAGTCCTGAATCTCCACCACCTTCCTTGCCAACCACAAAGTCCACTCCCATTATTTGCATGAGGCTTTCAGGATCCA